ACTGAAAATCCTCAAACAAATCATTCTTGTGCAAGTGGTCACATAACTGCTTTGCAACAGCTTTTTCAAGGATTTTGGAAATAAATGGGCGATTGGATATTGGTCTATAATTAGCTAGGACACCTGGGTCAAGAGTAGGCTTTTTGAGTAGAGGTTTAATTACTGCAAGTTTAAAAGCCTGTGGAACATAACCTGTTAATAGAGAGAGGTTAATCAGATCTAGTATGGATGTGTTGATTAGGGGAAAGACGTCTTTGAGCAGCCTGGTCGGGATGGGGTCCAGGAGACATGTTGATGATTTAGATGAAGCAATTGTTGAGGTCAACTCAGAAAGATCTATAGCAGAGAAGTAGTCCAAGTATAAATGAGGTTTTACAGATGTTTCTAAAGCCATTGTAGTAGATGGCACATCCGCGAAAGCTGCGGGAGTGGTCTGACCAATTTTTTCTCTAATAGTTGTGATTTTATTTGTTCAATCCTCAAAACTCTCAAAGAGAGAAATAGGACAAATTCAGATAAACAATGTTTTTCTTGGTCAAATCTTCTGTGACTTAGGAAAGCATAAAAGACATGAAAATGTTTATAAACAGTCTCCTTTTGCACCAAATCTTCATAAAGACATGAAAATGTCTAAAACTGTCTTCTTTTCAAGCCATCCTTTCCCCATTAGGCCGGGTGGATTGTGGCTTTTTGTTAAAATTCTTCATTTCTTCATCAATTATCTTTGAAGCAGGAATTCAGTTCCCCCGCTGAACTGTGAGGCTCTGCCACCGTCTGAGATTAGGCTGGACTCTTTCACCGGCCTCTCTCAGTGACAGACCATGGTTTATTACATGGTCTATGATGGTGGCTCTTATTTCATTAGTGACAACAGCTCTTACTCTCCTTTGACCTCCTCCACCCATTCTTACTCCTCTCCCCCTATCTCTCCTTCTCCCTTGTCCTGCTGCAACTACTCCTCTCCTTAGATCACCTTGTCCTCTCCCTCGTCCAACAATTTCTCCTCGTCTAATTCCTCTCCCTTGTCCAGACATTTTCTGCCTCTATGTGTTTTTCTGTATTGTTTTGAACAAGCCCGGTCTAGAGAGTGCATGCTTTTTTTATTGTGCTTGGACATGCATGGAAAGATGTGGGATTAATCAGTGTCAAATTGGAACCAGCTGTTTCCCAATTAGAACAATAATTCTTATCAGCTCTTTGAGCTGTTGTGGCAAAAGTAGAGGCTTTACATTATATTTAAAGTTTGGATCATTAGGTCTTCAATTCTGTCATGATGTGTTTAAGCATTTGTTAGAGATATTTGAAAGATCCATTATTTTGCTATGGGGTAAGCTTGTGTGAAAAGAAAATGTAAGCATTTTAGAAACGTGTGCATTGACTAAATTTTGTGTGAAAACGACATTAATTGTATTAATAGTATGCTCACAACAGACAGATGTTGTGATGATTGTGTTTAGAGTTTTGAAAATGTGAATACAGAATGGACAAATGGATGTTAGCAACTGCAAAAAACTGTAATAGGCTAAGTGTCTCGTTGTGTATTTGACCCAGCCATCAATTTCTGTTGAATCGTTTATTTCTATATGATAACAACTTCCCCTGGTGTATCTCAGAGCCACAGATGGCCGATCTACCCTGTTCCCTGGGACTGGCTGGCCTATTGGCTCAACATTAAAAATGTATCTCTTCATTGTGATATTATGAAACTCAACAACTGTATAAACTGTGCTCAGTTGTGATAGTCCAGTCTGTTGATGCCCTGTGATGCAGCAGTTCACTGAGTTGCGGGCCATTTAAAAAAACATCTTTGGAGCCATATGACGTTTACTATTGTTTATCATAACTTCAGTGAAATGCCACTGAATACTATCAACTACCAAATCAATATCATCTTGCTGTCCTTTATGGAAATTAATTATACCATCTTTCAAATGAAATAATCTATTATACTTGGGCACACAAAAGTATTTTGTTGTTCTTTGTCCCTCCATTTCTAAATATTAACTTCAACAAAACCATTCAAGCATAGCGTCAGACACTGGCTCAGTGCTTGTTGTTAAGCAGCTTCCAAATCAGTCAGGACTTCATGGCTGTGAAGCTTTCATGTAAATCTGTCAATGCTGTTGTGTACATCGTGGTATTTCTGTCTTTTAGTAATAATACAGTGGTACAAATAATGGCCATAGAATTGAGAAAGAACAGCTAGTTTCTCAAATGGCTTCTGAAAACAGACAAATGTCAACACAGGATTCTGTAAAGATTTTGTAAGTTTTGCGAAGACACTAACAACATATAAAAAATAACACTATTTAGGATAAGAAAAGGGAGCCCGAGTGTTTTAAATGACAGAATGAATCCTGTATCCATGAAGAAAAAACTCTGGCTCCCTCATGTGGAAGAATGATGGAAAGGAGTCTAAGATAATAAATATTATAAGGGATAATATTTTATGCAGTAAAATATTAGGTGGAAGTTAATTTTTCCCCCATGAGAAAGAAAAAAACATGTTCACTGTTTGTGGAATGTTTTTGGCTAGAAGCAGATTATTCTGTAAAGTGTTGCTAAGTATGAAAAGTAGGGCAGTTTTAATTAGTTAAAATTAAAAAAAAAACTAAACTGAACCATGTGATTGTCTATAGAGAAACAGACATTTGTGGAAGCTTAATTAAAACTACTCTTATAGGCTATTAGCTATGTCCACCATATAAAGATTTCTGCATGTTACAGAAAATTATGGTCAGCTGAATGCTATAACTGAGTTATTTTATTAGAAATAGGTTTTATGTTTTTGGTCACTGCTGTTAATAGAAAAACAGAGGAGCTGTGAAAAGAGCTATGAACATTCTTCAGCCAAACAATTTATTATTGCTGCACAGTCCTTTTATGTATCTACAATGACAAAGCAATTTTCTAAAGACTTCTTGAACGTGACACTGTTTAGCCCTGCCTCTGCTTGTGTCTTGGATTAGTCTTGCAGAACACAAACAAACGACCCCTCCGTCGGACAAAGAAACAGTCTTTGCAGCGCCTCTTCAGAGCAGACTTGGTTTTCATCCCAGCAGAGGACTGGATGCAGGGAAGATACTGACACTGTCCCAATGGAGATGGACCACACTGTGCAGGGGAACCAGATGCACCAGATGAACGGGGCTGGATGGAACTTATCCTGGCTGATGAAAGGAGCAATGTGCGAGGAGCTGTGGTGAGGGTGTACAGGCATCTGTAAGCACTGGCTGCTGGTGAGGAGAGGGTCAGATTAAACCGGCTCATCTGGGCCACTTGGCGAACCAGGGAGTTAGCCAGGTGCTTTAACAGCAGGGGCGCCATGGTGTCACACACTACAGAGACAGACAAAGAGTATTCACATATTGTTACACCTGCAGAATGTACATCTTGATGTAACTGTTGCAGTGTTGACTGAGTATCGGATTTTTCTGGTGACAAATTAAATGTACATGCCTCTAACCTAACGCCCATACTTTACAAGTTATTTACGCTTCCTAACTTGAGAAGCCACACTCATCCCACATTAATATATAATTCTAGTAAAGCGCAAAACGATAACGAAATAGTTTGCCATTTTCAGTTTCTATACGTGGTATTTGATTCTGCATACAGTGATATTTAAACCGGACTGGACGAAGCTGCACTTACGTAATGTCAAGAGCGTTACATTAGTAAGTTAGCGTCATTCAAGCTCCTATACTGCCAAACTTCAAAAACCCTGAGCGACTTAATCAAATGGTATATAAAACCTTGTATGGGCCTTTTTAATAAGGAGATGTGTTTTCTGAGTAACAAAAGCATGCATGCAACATAGCAAGACCAGCCCAGCATGTCAGTTGGCCCGCTAACATTAGGCGAAGCCAGAAATAAATACGGCACACACATTTGTCTCCGACATACCACTATCACAAACCGAAGAATATCTTCCTGAAATTCGTTGTACGTTTAAAGCATAGATTGTAGCCGCCAAGCTACGTTTATTTCGCCACAACACGACCGTAATGCTCTTCGTATTTGGGAGATCACATCCATGTGAGATAACAGCTTCCGGTTTGCGATTACACACATTGAATCATAATACCCCCAGTTTAGCCTTTCAGGTAGTTTGCTCTGTACCTTTGGACAACTTTTCCCTCTTTCATCATTAGCAGCCTTTACCACCAGCGTAGTGATAGTCTTAGTTACCATATTTTATAACATATGCCTAAATATTGTAAATAGTGTTATAACTAGTGTTGGGGATTGTAGATGCTGTCGAGTTATTGCTTCTGCGGGTCAAAACTCGGGGCATCAAATTCCTGGGTAAACAGTGTTGTCTGCAAGGCATCTCGGGGAAAATGGTTGTTGTAAACATGGCGGCCGCAGTGACCAGAATTCTGTCCTTCAGTAAAAATGGCAAGGTGGTTGTTTCACCTTTGAAGTTATTTGCCATACCTGCTCACCGCTACAGCTTAGAATTCTCCAGTACTGGCGAGGCGATCACTCACACCGGACAAGTAAGTCTGGTTATGGTATAGTCTGTATTACTGGCTGGCTTAACGTTAGCTAGCTAACATTAGCCCTGTGTTGTGAGTAGGTCCATTTTATCCATTATATGACAACGCTCCATATGACTTGGCTTTTCTTTTAATATTTGAAAATCAGCCATCGATTGTAACAGGTCTAATATCCAGTAAGTGTCAACTGGTAGTGTGTTTTTTAAGAAAGGGCAGCGAATGTATTTGATCCTTGTCTCCGCTAGCAAAACACGGAACCCAAATTTAGACCCTAAGTCATTGGCAAAATTACTGCAGTTCATAACTTTATTGTCTTTCTGAAAGGTATTTGATGAAAAAGATCACAGGAGAGCCAGATTCATTGGCAGACAAAAAGAGGTAAGAAGCAACCAAAAGGAGCACGTGACATCTAATTTAAGCAGTTAACTGGTTACATTACCATAAATATGACATGTACACAGAGATAGTTATGCGTACGCATTATTGATTATCATATTTCCACACTTTTTGTATTGTATATTCAACATCTTGTTCTCCAGTCCGTTTCAGTTTCTCGTTGTTTCCTAGATGGTCAAAGCACTACACATTACCACAGTTACTAGGCATTGAAACATTAACAGCTTTACCACATCACCACATAATCCTTATTGTCTTATTGTTAAAATCATTATGTGCTCACTTAAAGCTGTTTTGTATGCAATGAATAGATGCTGCACATAGAGGATAGCTTGCAGGTGGGCATCTGGGTCATCAGCATATCAGTTATGCAAACCATAACAGTCTCTCCCTGTCCAGTGTTTATTAAAACATTGTCTTGCTTAATGTCTCCCATATAAACCTCATTCTTCTAATAAATCTCATTGTTTACATCAAGGTGAATAAGAACTTTGCCATAAAGTTGGTGGCAGAGGAACCAGTGACCTACGTGGAGACCAGAGTTGTGTTTTGTGATGGCGGTGGAGGAGCGCTGGGCCATCCCAAGGTCTACATCAACCTGGTGAAGACCTGCACACACTGAAGTGATCAAATAATTTTAAGTGCTGTGTCAGCCCATGTTGACAAATGTTATTAGTGATTGGGCCATCCAGTGCCTCCTCCAGTGTTTGTTCACTATAACTACACTATAGTGTTGCATATTTATGTAACTCAAAATTACACTGCTTCCCAGGTTTACACTGAATAATGTATTTGGTTTTATTGAGATCAGACATCATGGTCAGATGAAACATCGAATAATATAAAAAAAAAATATGAGGGTCGCTTAGTTAAGAATTAATTTTGCTAACATTAAGTATATTGCGTTTGACATTTACATAATGTTTAAGAAACTAGGTTACTGCAGAAATCCAACAACTTTTTGACACATGCAAGTATTCGGCCCCCTTGAACTTTGCGACCTTTTGCCACATTTCAGGCTTCAAACATAAAGATATAAAACTGTAATTTTTTTGTGAAGAATCAACAACAAGTGGGACACAATCATGAAGTGGAACGAAATTTATTGGATATTTCAAACTTTTTTAACAAATAAAAAACTGAAAAATTGGGCGTGCAAAATTATTCAGCCCCCTTAAGTTAATACTTTGTAGCGCCACCTTTTGCTGCGATTACAGCTGTAAGTCGCTTGGGGTATGTCTCTATCAGTTTTGCACATCGAGAGACTGAAATTTTTGCCCATTCCTCCTTGCAAAACAGCTCGAGCTCAGTGAGGTTGGATGGAGAGTGTTTGTGAACAGCAGTTTTCAGTTCTTTCCACAGATTCTTGATTGGATTCAGGTCTGGACTTTGACTTGGCCATTCTACCACCTGGATATGTTTATTTGTGAACCATTCCATTGTAGATTTTGCTTTATGTTTTGGATCATTGTCTTGTTGGAAGACAAATCTCCGTCCCAGTCTCAGGTCTTTTGCAGACTCCATCAGGTTTCCTTCCAGAATGGTCCTGTATTTGGCTCCATCCATCTTCCCATCAATTTTAACCATCTTCCCTGTCCCTGCTGAAGAAAAGCAGGCCCAAACCATGATGCTGCCACCACCATGTTTGACAGTGGGGGTGGTGTGTTCAGGGTGATGAGCTGTGTTGCTTTTACGCCAAACATAATGTTTTGCATTGTTGCCAAAAAGTTCGATTTTGGTTTCATCTGACCAGAGCACCTTCTTCCACATGTTTGGTGTGTCTCCCAGGTGGCTTGTGGCAAACTTTAAACGACACTTTTTATGGATATCTTTAAGAAATGGCTTTCTTCTTGCCACTCTTCCATAAAGGCCAGATTTGTGCAGTATACGACTGATTGTTGTCCTATGGACAGAGTCTCCCACCTCAGCTGTAGATCTCTGCAGTTCATCGAGAGTGATCATGGGCCTCTTGGCTGCCTCTCTGATCAGTCTTCTCCTTGTATGAGCTGAAAGTTTAGAGGGACGGCCAGGCCTTGGTAGATTTGCAGTGGTATGATCCTCCTTCCATTTCAATATTATTGCTTGCACAGTGCTCCTTGGGATGTTTAAAGCTTGGGAAATCTTTTTGTATCCAAATCCGGCTTTAAACTTCTCCACAACAGTATCTCGGACCTGCCTGGTGTGTTCCTTGTTCTTCATGATGCTCTCTGCGCTTTAAACGGAGCTCTGAGACTATCACAGTGCAGGTGCATTTATATGGAGACTTGATTACACACAGGTGGATTTTATTTATCATCATTAGTCATTTAGGTCAACATTGGATCATTCAGAGATCCTCACTGAACTTCTGGAGTGAGTTTGCTGCACTGAAAGTAAAGGGGCTGAATAATTTTGCACGCCCAATTTTTCAGTTTTTTTATTTGTTAAAAAAGTTTGAAATATCCAATAAATTTCGTTCCACTTCATGATTGTGTCCCACTTGTTGTTGATTCTTCACAAAAAATTAGTTTTATATCTTTATGTTTGAAGCCTGAAATGTGGCAAAAGGTCGCAAAGTTCAAGGGGGCCGAATACTTTCGCAAGGCACTGTATAGTCTGAAATGCATGTATGACATTTTCCAGTGTTGCAGTGTTCCTGTAATCACCTAGTAGATACTACCACTACTGCTACTATACTATGTTTTTTCTCTGCCTTCAGGATAAAGACACAAAAGTGGGCACATGTGGCTACTGTGGATTACAGTTCAAGCAGAAGCATCATCACTGAAACATTTCTTCTGTTTTTGCTTCTCTGTACAAATTGCCATATTGGTTAATAAATTATATCTTGTCTGTGTTCTACTTAATGAGCCTTGTTGAACTCGGTGTTGCAGTGTGCTGTTCATAACTACTGTGGTTTCAGAAAGTATTCAGACTTCTGCACATGTTGCTGTATATTTAATTTTAAATTGCTAAAATTGGCATTTTTTACACTCAAGAACCCATAATGAAAAACTGAAAACATGTTTAGGAACTTTGGCTAATATATTAAAATTCAGGCATCTGTGAGCTGCCATCTTTAGGTCTCTATACAGATGTTCTAGAGTTTTTGGCTGGCCCACTCAAGGACAGTCATGAGACTCATTCTGACAAGCCTTCCTGTCCCTGCCGCTGAGAGAGCATGATGCTGCCACCACCATGCTTCTCCATAGGGATGGTATTGTGTTCATCAGACGTGGTGGTTGGAGTTATGTTGAAAGAGTTTAATTTTTGTCTCATCAGGTCAGAGAGTGCTTTTCCCTTATGCTCCAAGTCCTTTAAACACCATCTGGCAAACTCCAAGCAGGTGGAGTTTGCTTTTACTCAACATGACTTCCATTTAGCCATGATACCAAAGAGACTTGAATGATGGAGAGCTGCTGTGATGGTCATCCTTCCAACAGGTCCTCCCATCTTTATTGAGGACTTCTGAAGTTCTGTTAAGAGTGATCATTGAGTCTTTGGTCACCCACCTCATCAAGGCCCTTTTTACATGGTTACTCATTTTGGATGGACAGCAACTCTAGAAAAAGTCTTGGTGGTTCCAAAACTTCTTCCTGTTCACAATTATTGAAGCCACTGTGCTCCTGGGAATACTCAAAGCTATAGAAATGGCTTTATACAGAAACCTTGCCCTTGTCTATGCCATGCTGTAAAATTTGATTATAGCAGTCTAGAGAGTTGCTTGGACTTAATGATTTGCTTTCTGTCCTGACATACAGTATGAATTGTGTGACCTTAGGTGTGTGCCATTCTAAATGATGTCCAGTCATTGCAGTTTGCTACATTTGGACTCAAGAGAAGGACAATTAAAGGATACAAGGATACATATGACCACAATTTGGAGTGCCACATCAAAGGGCCTGAATAGTTCTTCATAATGCACATTTTGACATGTCATAGTAGGAAAAGCACAGGTGTAATTGATGGCTACATTAAATTTATATGACTTTTAATTTTGAGATTTAGATAGCTGAATGCAGTTCTTCCCTATGACAGCCAGAGGCCACCAGTGTCCTGTGGTTGTGTTTGGTCTGAGAAAGCAAACAAAGGTAGCGAAAGGCTCTTTGGTACAGAAATAAAAAGCAGTCTTAGACTTTATTTGCCAATGAATAGCTCAAAACTAGTTGTTTTAAAACTAACACTTAAGAGTTTGTTTAGTAGTAAAACCTTGAATTGATTTAAATCATAAATGCAGGTGAGTCTATTGTATCTGCATGACCAGGATATGTTTCTCTCCTTCATAACCTTAGTGCATTGGCCCCCCACAATTCACTGTAGAGTCTCTTTCTGCCAAACCTAGATGACATCAGGAGGGAGCCAGGCTGATAAGACAGCAGCATGGAACAATACATATTTGAAGAACATCATATATATATTTCATGGGGCTTATTCTCCATAGACCTCTGCATGCCAAATTGGCCTGCGCTTGGCTCAGGCTCCAGACAGCACTAGCCTGTTCTGTCCCCAGTGATGAAGCCAATGGAACTGTATTTTCCACACCATGGAACTCAGGTTGGGAAGAGTAGTCAGGCTGATATAATTGGCCCTTGTGACTTCTGGAAGTGAGGCTTATGCTGTAGTTAGCCTCATCTATAGTCAGACCACTTTGGATGATTTAATGGGAGAGAGGTGCTTTGTTAAACTGACGCAGGCAAGCTGGGTCAGTGTCAGAGAATGACTAGTTTGTCTTGTAGTTGATAAGTCTGAGTGGTTCAGAGGTGGTGGTTGGTTGGGTTGGAGGCATTTCCATGGGCAAAATCTTAAAATAAAACAGCATATGAATAAGGATAATGATAATCACCTTTATTGGCCAAGTATGTTACACACAAGGAATTTGTTTCCGGTACAGAGCCGATGGCGCTAACCATCGGGGACAACGGGGGGAGGGGTTCAGTGTCTTGCCCAAGGACACTTTGTACTGAGAATTGTACTGAGTTAAAAAGCACCAGGTTTTATGCTGGATTTAACTCTCACTCTTAATTATTCACTGCTTTTAAATGAATCACCTACCACATTAGAATATACTCTAGCATCATATATGTCAAGTAGCTCAAGATCATGAAGGTGGACTGAACCAATTTACAGAAACACTCATTCATTCATTCCACCTTAAACTGTCAATTTAACAAGTGGCTACACCCAGTTATCCACCTTCTCTCTGCATAATATTACATAGTAATTGCAAATACAACTCTTAACCATAATGTGACCTGTGCTGCTGGGTCAGACCATTCAGACAATGATAAGCCCAAATCAGACTGTAATCATATTGAAAATGTCCTCACTTCTGGGCCACACAATATATAATTCAGTTAAATGCCACTGAATTCCTTAACACAGTGCCCCTCCACAACAATCACTTACTCTACACAAAACATCGTCTTCGTCGCTGTAATTGCCATAATAAAACATTTCTCCTTGAAGATGTGTCACATTGTAGACCCTGAGGCTCATTAGAGCTCCCTGCAGCCAATTATCTGAACCTCCATGTCTGGAAGCCATGGTGAGCAAAAAGGGCTCACAGGCAGATCCAGGAGCAGCACATCCTCCTCCAATCCATACTTACTGTATGAAAGGCAAAACAAAAAACTGACCTTTGGTCATAGTATCGGGGCGACTCCACTCAGCTCCACTTTAGAGTCAAATGACAGAGCTTCTGACCTTTACCATGGAAATAATGACTTGTTCTTGTGCCAAGAGCTCAGACGGTTACTGCAGGGAGCGAGACACCTCTGGCGACATGTGACAGTTTTTGGGGGAGAGAGTTTGATAGCCCCAGAAAACCAAAGTGTGTGTGACAAGACGCAAGAGACTTAGAACTGTGTGCATGTCTGTTAGTGTGTGTGTGTGGTTATGTTTGAGTACGTGACAGAGACACAGACAGTGTTGAAAGGAAATAGGTGTCAGACAGAAGGTGCAGAGAGGAGCAATTTGAAGTTGTCAATACTTCCTGTGCAGATATTCCAGCTGAAAATTTTAAAGTAGAAGTAGTTCAGAAAAAGCGTCACAATGTTTGGAACAAAATAATAATAATATGAACAATTCTAAATGTTAATATAATTTAAATAAAATATTTATGGGTTACTTTTCTATCACCTCTGTGTCAACTCTCCCTTTAAGTAGTTCCTGGTGGTGTGAGTTAGACAAATAAACAGCGAGTCTAACATTGCCTGACTTGTACTGCAACGCAGTGAGGTTTAATCACATTATATGGCCCAGGGAACAGGCCTTCATGTCAGACTGGCTATTGAGTGGCTCACTTGTGTGTCGCGAGCAGACAGAGGTGAAGCGAGTGGAGGGAAGTAGGGAGGGAGAAGGGGGGTGGGGGTACTGGATGGGGAATGAGGGAGGGGTATGGGTTAGGGAAGGAAAAGAGGGAAGGAAAGATAGCTGGGGGACTAAAGGGAGAAACGTGTGAGAGTTCAGTGGAGCAAGACAGTGAGTGTGAAAAAGAGAGAAGATTGTGGGGAAACCTCACGAGATAAATGCAAATTACTTGCCAGAATGTGTCATATTCTTAGTTTTGGAGGTATTTGGCATACAAATTGTACATGTTAGAAATGATTTAGGCTCACACTTTTTATACTTTACACCTTTTCCAAGTTTTATTTGGAAAACCTTGTAGTTTAATCTAATAATTCACCAGTCAAAAGGTTTGCTCAGATGAATCCACAGTTAACTATCACCTGATTTCTGTGCCCTTCAGCTATTTATAGCCTACAGTTGTGCAGGTCATTGTTTTGGTTTTCTGGACCACAACCATTTTGGTTGCATCCCACAGGTGTCATAGTTTCCAGCTGCAACAGACAGCCGTTTTTACCAAAAAGCTCTGAAAGCTGACCAAAACCACCAAACAGCTGACAGAGTTAGCCGGCCACCATAGTGGAACATTTAGCAGCCACAAAACCATAGGTTTTTTCCAGAATTTGGAAGGGCCAAAAACAGAGCAAAAAAAATGATGAATATTGGTCTTACATTTGCCAGGCACATTTGCTGTGACTTTAAAATGTATAGGGTGACATGGAGTGCACAGTAGCCCCAGGCATCCCAGACAGTCCTGGGTTTGCCCTGTCTCTGCTGAGTTGGCTTGTTCTCCTTGTACCTGCATTGGTTTCCTTTGGGTTTTCTTTACACAGTCCAGAAACATGCTGGTTAGGTTGACAGGTGACTCTGAAGGTGTGAAAGTGAGCATGGAGGGTTGTCTGTCTAAATGTCTCTAGCTGGGACAGATTTATAAACAGTTTTAGAGGACTGATTAAGTAAAAACCTACACATAGTGAACTCACTGCTTGATTATGCCACATACACTCTTACAGATTTCTCTTGAAACCAATTCAGTTAATTTTAACAGGACAGGATGCTGGACTCCATAAATGTTTTAACACTGAAATAAATGAACACATTTTCAGAACTGGGTTGAAGTTAGATCAGACATAATGTTCAACACTAAATTTCAGCATACAGGCTACTGTTTTCCCCATGACCTGTGACCAAGAGACAAGCCATGTCTCAAACAGCTAATGGTGACAACACATCTAAACTTACAGTATATCTCTTAACCCCACTCAGCACTGAGCCACCCTCTTATCTGACTGCCATTTTATATCCTTCATGATACAACCACCTCTTCTTTTGAAATAAAATCCACCTCACATTTTTCAAAAAGGAAACAGAATTGTATCCATACTTTCTCATTAAATTCAGGAAATTTGACCAGAGATCCTGTCTGACAGTGAGTGGAAGAAAGAAAACTTTACAGGAATAAGAAGTCAGATGTCATTATTTATCATCTTAAATCTTACTTATTTATGAGGCAGAAACAGAATGAAATTCTCGGTTGAATTCATCCTGAATTATTTAATATGAAATGGTTAATTCCATACAAAGCCCAGGCAGATCTCTCCTCTGTTCTGGTAAATACTTTATCAGTGTTCTTAAATCGAAAACAGGAAGAGGAAGATGGGTGAGGAAAACAAGCTTCTCTTTCTTGTTGATTTTTCATTTTGAAAGTGTTGGTTTAAATGTTTTGTGTGCTTAATTTGTGAATTTTTTTAAAAAATAATTAAAGCTGATGGTAAAGTATTTTTAAATAAAATCTGTAAGGCATAATGATTTGAACTTTATTTTTCTGTTCATTTCAATAATGTTTTTATTAGTTGTATGAAAAATCACAACAATGATTAAAGATCTGACACTTATTTAAAATTGCTTAAGCTGTTTTATGAGCTGTTTTAAGCTGGTGTATTTTCTTGCACTACCAGGTAGACAAAGTCAAAATCAGCCTAATGAAAAGGGACGCATCGCTAAACACAGCTATCTGGAGCCAAGGTGGAAGTGGCACACGCCTTTGTGTGTTTCCAGTAGTAATGGTTGAATACCACCCACTTCCCCTTTTCATTCTTTCAAAACACACACACACACACACACACACACACACAAAGCTGTGAAGGTATATTCCACTATTCCTAAGCAGGATTTAAATCATCCGAACTAATAGTGCTAGTGGGTCAAGCAGAGTGGACAGCTGCTGTAAGGACACACATTTTATTTTTGTGACTCAATGCATGTGCAAGCTATAGTGCAAGTGTACAGGACTGTACATTTTTCAGTTGTGTGAACTGTACAGCCTTGCTGCACTGAAATGTATAGTGACAGTTTATTTGCTCACATTTGATCATTAATCAGGGCCCATATGTGTTTTTAATTGTAAAAGAGGGCCTAAAAAATGTCCAAACAGAATTATACATTTTGAATTGACCATTCACTAAACCCATTCCATGGCAAACATTTGTGAAATAATAGCTTTGGGGACCACACACTGGTTTTGTCAATCTGTGGACTTCTCCATACAATGAAGTAATAGTAAAAGCAATGTTGCATAATTTAAAGAGCTTTGAGGGTGATGTCTTAAGTCTTTCCAAAACCAAAAACACAGCACAAAAGTGTAAAAGTGTGGATTAAATGGTGTGTATTTGCAATAATATAAGATGTGATCATTAAACATGTCCACATAACTGTTTTAATATATAGTAACCAAGAACTATTTCCAAAAAGCAATGATGTCATCTATAGATGTCATCTAACTAATAACTGCCACCAACTGCCCAGAAGGAAATCTCAAAGGTTTAAGACAGGAAATAAGAAGCCTGCTTCTATCTACTGCTGTCTGAAACCAAGGGCCCACTGTTTAAAACTTACTCAAGATGTTGAATGCCATTTCTGCTTCATTGTTGGAAATGTGTTGTGCAAGAATGGAAAGCTTGACAGACTTGGCAACAGTAACGAGTACACAGTAGCTTAGCGAATGATCAATTGGTCAAGTCACAACAATAAAATATAGAGTTTGTGTTTTAGGTCCAGCAGTTTTTAAAACATTTCACTGATAATGTGTTGGCCTACAAAGATGACATAGCTCTAACGATTTCAAAGGACTGTCCAGGTGTTCTGCTGTTTGTCAGGGCATCACTTACACCTTTCCACACCCCAGCAGGTCTGGGCTGTTGGAAGGGGGGACCATGGAAAACTCCATCCACCCATTCTCTTAACATGGCAACTGGTGATTCCTGTTGCCTGTCTGCCTTAATGAGCCCCATATTTGACGGATGTGCAGGAAAGGAGTACCTGGTCATTGATGAAAGCATACAGGGAGGGTATTCTGGCTGCAAGCTGACACCTAAAGACACCGCAGTGTGAGCAACGGACCACGTTTTCAGCTTGGGGTCTGTGCTTCGAAGGTCTGGATTAGGATAGAAGGTGTCATTATGATGTTGATCCGGTGTGAGCTTGGGGCAGTCTGGGGACAATCTCTCTTTTCCATGCAGTGGTGTGAGGTGCCCATGTGGGAGATCTGTGTTTGGGTTTGCGTCATTGTCCTCAGGTAAGAACTCTGGCTTCGGCTCACAGTCGGAAGCATCTGACTCCAGGGAGTCGAAGTCCTCAAGGTCACTCTGCAGGTCTACACACTGTTGATCTCCAATAATGAGTGATGCAGATAACATTAAGTCTGTGCATGCTTATCAGATTTTGAACAAATCTTGGAAAAAAAAGCAAAATGTACTGATTTAAGCCCGACTTACCACATTTGAGTGGCTTCTCAGCTTCATCACTGTCATCATTACAGCTTCGGTCATCAGAGTTTTTACAGGCCCGGGGTGACCACGTCACCTTGTTCTCCTTCTTCAACCTCCTGCGAGCATTGGCAAACCATGTAGACACCTGAGAGAGGGAAGGAAAAGAGGTCAGGATAAAATCATAGTAATATGAAAAGAAAAGGTTGTGTAGCAATGTAGGGAAGAAACAAAAACAAGTGATGTATGTAAATTGGAAAGGCCAAAAATAAGAACAGAAGGAAGGAACATGGGGAATCAGTAAAGCAAAGGAAAGAGAGAGCATTTGACAGTACAGGAAATAGAGGAAAGAAGACAAGAACCCATTAAGTTGCAACTAAACTTCAAGAAACAGTCATCTAGGTTGCTCTTAAATCTTGTGCTACTATATAATTTATATTCACCTGTGTAAGGGTCATTCTGGTGATAATAGCAAGCATGATCTTCTCTCCCTTAGTTGGGTAGGGATTCTTCTGGTGTTCCTGCAGCCAGGCCTTCAGAGTGCTGGTAGTCTCTCGAGTAGCATTTTTTCGACGGGAAGCACCATCAGAGCAGGAATACCTGAACACAATAACAATCAACATAATATATTACTGTCTTACTGGAGATAAGCAAATGGATTTTACTATAAAGAAAAGCCTTCCTCATTCAAGAAGAGGAAGGAATTAAGAGCAACTATGAAATTATGGTACCAGATCAAAAACTTTAGTCTTTGGCACTGAAAAATAAAGCTTGGTGTTGGAAACTGTAATTGGAATAAAAAAAAGTAACTGAAAAAGCAAACATTAGCACTGAAGCATTTGTATCGAAAAAAATCTTTTCTCGTTAATGTAAGTCTTTTCAATGCCAAAGTTTTCCCTTTCAGTTTCACTTCTCTGCCACTGTTTTGGTGGGGAGTGGAGGGCTTTGAGGGCCGGGGCTAAGAAGAGTGTGATTTGCATACGCTGGTTGAGCTCTATGAGGAGAGGACAGCCCTCTCCCCAAGTTCTAATGTTAGCTACAGGTACACTATAGCTAATATATGTAGCCAATGTTAGCTGTAACTAATATCAACAGTGCACAGCCACTTATCAGAGACTTTCTGTGGGATCTTACAGGACTGTCTGCTACACAGTATGACACCATGTGGAATGGGGCTAATGAACTTTAGTTCTGCCTGGGGTGGAAAAATGGCAGTATGGTGAAAGCGATGGTCTGAGAGCTACTGGTGAAATCAGGGAAGCCATATGACACTGAAGTTGGCTTTTGATTTGACAGTTAAGGGAGACATTAAAATACAGAGTGACATTTTCTCTGCTTTTACACCTCTGAATGTTGTGAAAGAGTTTTAGACATTCTAGAAAAACCTTTAATACTCAGTGACACCCACTTTTAAATTCATGAAAACTTTATGAATAATCACAATAAAGGACAAATATGTTGCATCTACATGCATTATAGTGTCGTACGGCTTTCCTGAGTTCACCAGTAGCTCTTAGACCATCTCTTTCAACATACTGCCATTTTTCCTCTCCAGGACGAACTAAAATTTATTAGCCCTGTTCCACACACATCGCTGTGTGGCAGTCGGTCCCGGAAGTTCCCACAAAAAGTCTGATAAGGGGTTATGCTTATGCTGCTTATGTTAGTTACAGCTAACATTAGCTATAGCCTTCCTGTAGCTAACACTAGCACTTGCTGCAGCAGACCTCTGCCACATTAACATGATGTTAGTTAAAAGCTAGCTTTAATGTAGCTCAGTTCTATGAGTAAAGACTCCAGTAGAGAGAAACACACAGCAGTTTGAGAGCTCCAGCTGAATTCGGGGAAGACGCTGCAGTGACTATGCGGCCACGCTCAGCAGACAGAAGCCTTTATGCTGACAATGGCTCAGGGGACAAGGCTGTCCTCTCCTCATAGATCTCAACCAGAGTATGCAAAACAGATTCTCCTTAGCCCCGCCCCTTAAAGCCCTAGTGACAGAGAAGTGAAACTGAAAAGAAAAACTTTGTAAAACACTGGCATCGACACAAAATACATAAGATTGTCACTGAAAAACAACTTTGGCATTGAAAAAGACTTACATTAGCAAAAATAATAATAATAATAATAAAGAAGATTGTCATTTTTCCAGGATTAATACTTTTTTAATGCCAGTGGGGCTTTTTTTGCTTTGCTTTGTTTTTTCAGTATAAATGATTCAGTGACAATGTTTGCTTTTTTCAGTTATGGTTTTGTTTTCAGTGCTAATCTTTATTTGTCAGTGCCAAAGACTAAAGTCATCGATCTTGCTCCATATGAAATATATTAATGATATCCTAAGAGAAAAATCATACAATTAAATACAGTACAATTAAACCACTGCTGTAAAACCTGCACCGGTTCCAGACACTAAAAGACATTACACTATGTCACGATGCCAAGACATAAAAGAATATGAGGCATTACATTGTTAGAGACACACTAGAAATATATATTTTTAAATAATTTTTATTATGGAATAATACAATAAAAATATATTAAACTTTTAAATTAGGGTGGAAAAACCTATATAGGCTCTGACTTACCCATATCTGTCATAAGGATATTGTCCAAATGTGTATTCATAAGGATAGTACCCGGGAGTCTGAGATGTGGTCACATGCACAGATGTAGCTCCGTCTTTGGAATCTAATGGACCCTGAAAAGATTGGCAAATATCTGATATGTCCCTAATCAGAAATGTTCCAATATACTGTCAATGGAAAACACTCTACTAATCAAGCGTTATTTAAAAATGAGATTACCTGATTTAAGTTATTATTCCTATATAATTAATATTCCCATGTCATTCTAGAAAATGTGTAGTCTCACACAATTACAGATTTTTCCAACCTTTCTTCTTTCACATGGCTTTTGCTTAATTGCTCATTTTTGAAAGAACGCTAGGAAGTAAAATCAGGATAGATAGTGATAATGAGCTAAAAGTGAAATATGAAACTCACTCTGGAACAGAGAGCGTCGCTGGTGCAGGTGTTATAATAACCTTGGCTCTTTGGATAAGGGCCGGTGTAAACTCCGATGCCAGTGCCAGAGGTGAATTGATGGCCCGGGGAGCGCAGCACCGAGTTTGACGCAGGCGTTCCCGGCTCCAGACAACCGGCCAGAGAGCTAGAGGTCATCAGAAACTTTGACAAGAAAATTGTACATTTTTCTTTAAACTTAAGGGGAAAAAACGTATATAGTGTGGTGGGTCGGTGAAACCGCACCAAATATACATTATAAATATGGAGACTGTACCTGTGGTGCGGTGGAGTAGCTGCATCCCAGCTGAGCGTAAGCCATGGCTCAGTCAAGAGGCAAAAGAAGGAGCACGGACCCAGGGCGACATCCAACGCAATCCGTGCCAAAGGTAGACTTTTGCTTCTGACACAAGTTCAGTGCTAGTTTCACATTTAAATTTATCACTTTTGAAATAGGGCTAGGCTGCAATCTACTACCTTACCCCGGTGGGGGCTCGCAAACATTTACACTAGTTTCATTTTACGCACCGAGCAGTCTTTAAAAGTAACCTTTGCCGTTTCGCCTCATTTACCCAGCTGCTGCAGTTTCTGCAGCGTCCCTGCTACAATCCAAAGACAGACAGAGTGCGTGTGATCAAGCCATGCATCTCCCTGTGGTGTGATCTTTGGTTTTAAGGCGCGTCTCTCTGACGTCAGCCCGGAGTGTTCAGCGCAGCATTCATATCAAGATGAAGAAACTCACCTAATTAATTCTCTCCCAGTTTTCTTTTAATTCTTATCCCGGAGAACCACGCAACCCCCCACATCCCAAAGGACCCCAGGCGTAATGAGAATGTGATCAGTTATCCTTTCCAAGTAAACATAGTCTCCATGTGCGCACACACACACAGTGCTATATGGCCAGAGGGGCGATCAGAAACGTGATGCCTTGACACCACATTGACACTGGATGATTGATGGCTACAACCTGATATTAGCATAATCGTTTTGCCCTGTAGTTTAGATAAGTTGTCACCACGGAGAAATCTCCCTGTCATCCACATATTCATGAGTGGGGAAATTTCAGGTCTCCTCCAAGCAAATTAATCATAGAAGAAACACTCTGTGCATTCCCTTGAGTAAGCACCTTTACCAACTGAATGGCTTGTCATATTTTTAATAAAGTCTTGTAAACATTTCTTCCATTTCAATCCACCTTTAGATTTTCATTCATTTTTAGGGGGTATAAAGACAAGGGTAGGCGTAAAAGGGATGAGGCAAAATTTACAGGGGGTGCGGTGTTAAAAGCATTTGGATAAACTGGTGAATAAATTGTAGAAATGTGGAATTGTAGGGAAGGGGTGAAATGACAAAGAACAGAGTATGAAAGGTGACAGGGAGGAGTTAGAGAAAGGGGGAGATTTAGATTTTTTTAGCTTTCTTTTTGAGATTTATTCGAATAAATATACAATATTTTAATTAAAACATTTTAATTGATGAAATAGTTTTCCTTTAATATGTCACAAACAGGTGACATATTAAAGGAAAACCCTGACTAAATGAGTGGTCTCTTCCAGAATGACAGTGTCCCCATCTACAGGGCATGAGGGGTCACTGAGTGGTATGATGAGTATGAAAATGATGTGAATCATATGCTATGACCTTCACAGTCACCAGATCTCAACCCAGTTCAACACCTATGGGAGGTTTTGGACCAATGTGTTAGACAGTTCCTCCACCATCAAAACAACAAGGGAGGGAATATCTGTTGGAAGAATGGTGGTCATCCCTCCAGTACAGTCCAGAGACTTGTAGAATCAATGCCAAGGTGCACTGAAGTTGTTCTGGGGGCCCCGCACCTCACTGAGACATGCTATGTTGGGCTTTCCTTTAATTGTTCACCTGTTAATATTTTGCTGTGCACTTCGTCAGAATGCAAGACTGGATTTAAGACAAAAATATTACCACTGAACATTTTACCTATATGTCCACCTTAAAATTTTGATACAATCTCTTATATTGGAAGACATGGAGAAAAGGATCAAAACTGGAAAACCATGAGAAGTTATGGAGAGAAAAAGGAATTATGAAACAAAAGGTGAGCTGGATAAGAAGAAGAAATGAAAGTAGAAAAGAGGGGAAGCCTAAAGAGGAAAACTTGGGCAGCTGAAGAAATCTTCAGGAGACCTAATGGGGAGCAAGGGGGTATGGAGGGTTAAAAGGACAAAATATTCCCAGTGCACCCAGAGTAAGGCTGGAACAACAGAGCTGCATCACCAGAAAGCATCTCAGGCCCCAGCGGGAAGAAGGCATCTGTGTACCGGCGCTTGATTGACATTCCATTTGTCCCACGAAAGGTTTTCATATACTGAACATGAACTAACTGTCTCTCCCTCATCTGTGCTCAAAGATAGGAAATTAAGTTATCTCCCTGCGCTGGCATTGCATGTCTCCGCACAAAACATATGTCACTCACAGAGAAGGGCAATTTGTTTAGCTAGTGACAATAAACATGGCTGTGTTTAATCTTGGTCTCATATAGTTTATAGAGAAAATAACTTGTGAGGTAAAGTTGAATAAGGAGACTATAGAGAGTCTGGTTTGAACTAAAGTTTTTATTACTGAGTAAAAATAAAACTAATAAAGCATGCAATGTGACTGGAGATGCATAGATCCTTTTGAATATTCAACAGACTTCTGACAAATACATTTATGGCAGTCCTCCAGTATCCCTTTCTTATGGCTCTGCATTTGTTCTTATTTTGGACCCATCGTCGACTCAGTCATTCGTTCAAGATGGTCCACAAGAAAAAAGAAGGGAAACATTCTCTTTCTCTCCTTTCTGCATCCAGCTTTAACTACTATGCTGTAGCAGGGGAATGGAAGTTAATGATAAAAGTGTGAGAATGTGAGAGGAGAAGGAGGGCTAGGCAATCCAGAGAGTGCTTGGATGAGGGGCCCAAACAACTCCAGTCACAAGTTCTTTCAATCACAGTGTGCTGCATTTGAAAATGTTTTGCCTTATAATCTGAAAGCATGCAATTTTAATCTGTTTTCACATGTATATGCTTTTTTGAGCCTTCATCATGGTCTTTAGCTGTTTCACAAAATATCTCACTGAGGCTGAAATGAGAAGGCCTTTAATAGCCTGAGTGAAAACAGGAATTTGTCTTTTTTTTTACCTTATTTGGGCAAGACAGTCAAGATGAGGAAATTGTCCCATGCAGCCCGCAGACAAAAACATGTATTCACTGTCTGGCCTAGGGCTAAGCAGGTTCTCTACTTCTTATGGTGGACCCTGCAAAAAAACCTTTGCAACGACGTAATTACAGCCAATCCGTGTGGCTCTCGGACTTTGAAGCATCAATTATTTTACCCACGCTGACTCCAAGTGGCTCTTTGTTAATGATTCCTCAGATAATGCTTGTGTACTATGGGATCTTCCTTCTAAAACTGTTCTTATCTAAAGTGAAGCAAAATTAGAGGAAATGTTGTTTCCATGCAAGGCTTCCTCTGCTCACAGTGTTCTACCATCAGACAGCGGAGCACATGGGCAACACAAGGTAACTTTCCACCATTGTTCCAGCTTCTGCTTTATAAAAAAAGAGTGGTCTTCAGAGAGAAAGAAGAGGGCAGGGAAGCTGAAGCAATAAATGGATCATGAGGAAAGAAAATGGGCTTTTCTTTTTCACCACAAGATGCAGCTGCCTCATATTAAGCATAATAGCGCCAACCAGGTTCGATCTAATCCACAAATGAGGCTGCCAACACTGAGTACCTGTCTGACCAGTGTGCAGCAGCCATGCTATGTGCTGCTTCTCTGCTCCTGTCTCATAAGAGCCTCATGAAAGATCTGGAGATACTGAAGTCTTGAGTGGGATACTATAAATGCCCTGGTCTTCCTCATCAAAGATGTAAGATACAGGAACAGAGACAAGCGAACTCTCTTAGCTGCTGCATAGTGTGCATGTATGGGAGCGTGTGGTCTGTGAAAGAGGTGGACAGATACAGACAGACAGAGAAGAAGACAGGTTTAGGCTACAGGCAGCTCTTAAGAGTGTGTACAGTTTGCGTTGAGCACTGAGAGGACAGCTGGATTCCTACCTATTACTTCCACTTCATTACTGCGGGAGCCACCATACATTATTTAGCTTTCCCAGCCTCAGTCCACAGGGACCGATAGAGCCTGTAAAACACTTTAATCTACCTCAGATCTCCTACTGATCTCTGTTTGTTACCCTCTTTATTTGTTGATTTTCACTCTTGATCTGACTTGAATTATGTTCAGTTATATTCCCTCTGTCATTTTTGACCAGTTTAATGACTGACAATAATGCATGAAAAATTAACCTTTTTTCCCTCCTGATCTTAATAAAAGGAATGTGTATAAAACTTCTGAAAGAGTAAAGCTGCCTAAGCTGCTCTTGCACATTTGATGAATGTGACAAAATACAGAGATGAGCACAAAGCATTGTTAATACACCAAAATTATTCACAGACAATGTAAAGTTAGTTAGGAGTCTATCTTCTGAAAAAGCAGTTATAAAACTCTAATAACAAAAATCCACATACTCCAAAATTGTATTTAATCATTCAGATACTCATTTCGTCTGGTGTATTTCTGAAACATATCATTAGTTTGAAAACATGTTTAAGAAATTCTTTTATAAATTAGGAATGAATTGTAAAGAACCAATGATATAATAATTCTGTGTGTTTTTGAGCTGCTAAAAAAGCTCAGAGTCTTCAGGGTAAAGTTAAGATAAGCCTTTATTGTCCCCAAGGGGAGATTTGTTTCCACAGCCTGCACACACACAGAAACACAGAAACATACAAATATTCACACAACATAGACAGTGAACATTCACGGCCCTATCCTAAACCCAAACTCACATGTGGGTGTGAGTCTGTACAGCAAAGTCAATGATGCTCCCTTTTCAGAGCTGTAAAGGCAGAGGGGACAAAACTTCTGCCAAAACGAGCAGCTCTTCATTTTAAAGTCCTGTATCTATGATCCAACAGCAGCAATGTGAAGTATGGATTTAGAGGTGACTGGTGTCATTTCCCACTACCAGTGCAAGGTGTGCGATAGCTCTGTCATTCATGTCTTAGAGGTTGGGAGTTGAGAAGTACATTGTCTTGGAGGTGGTATGTGTAACCTTAATAAGTTCTTTTTTTGTTGTAAATGGTTAACATGGTGAAGAAACAGGGGGAACAAATAGAACAGTACAAGAGGAAGGGCTGGTTTATGCTTGAAGTACTAGTTGTTTTTGCATTTGTATTAATAAACCAATAATCTCACAGTACATATGAATCAGCCATAGTAGCTATTTTTAATAAATACAATTTTAACACCAGTGTTCATATAAGAAAGTTCATATACTGTACTTAAATAGAATTTTGAATGGAGGATTGTTACTCAGAGTATTGTTACCTTGTTGTGTTTTCCTTGAGTAGAAGAGATGACTAATTCTTTCATCAATAGACTAGAGACCACATATAATCCCAGAGCACTGCACAAGTGTCCCCTTCAGTGGCTTAGATCGGGGAACACCATGCAAAGACGGAATCAGGACGTTTTCCTCCGCTGCTTCATAACTACTGCAATACTTAGTCCACAGGTGCCATCCTCTGGTGGTTTAAAGAACTACAACCTTACTGTGGTGGGGGTGGTGTGTGTGTGGTGTTAGCCTCAGGGTGCAGTGGGCTTAGCTTGCAGTTGTTGTTAA